TAGTTACACAGGTGCAAAACTCTTTACAGACTATCTTGTATCACTGCTTAAGTGATTTACACATATCCACAAAGGGTCACAGCTGCTGAATTAAACCCATGTTACAATTAGAATAAACTCATGCCATTTTTGTCTATATGGAGACTAATAGTGATTTTTTTAAGTGCATTAAACTTCAGGTTCCCAGAGATAATTTCAGGCAATGGAGTTATGTTTTCTTTCATTTGAACATTTTTAAACAATGACCATCTGAGCACATAGCTGAAATCAAGTATCTTCCACCACATCAAATTATGCTTAACTGTGCTATTTTAATATTCTTCATTTCAGGAGGTATTCTATCATTAATTTCTAAAGCCATCCTCAAAATATCTTAATACCAAGCTTGACAACTTGTTCAGCTGCAGGAACACAAAGTTGGAAAGACTGTTTAAGAAACTTGTTTATTCACTTCAAACCTGAACTGCTCTTCACTAAACTAAAGTGTCTACTGCTGTTATTAAACGCTGCTGAATAGTTTGCTAATGAAGTTTGGTGAGAAATATGAACCATGAGGCTGTACTTCTGATTAATAATTGATTTATTGGATGTGTCCAGGTGCAGTTTTTTCTGCAGGAATTTTGCTGCCTTTCTTTCAGCAGTACTGACACATGGTAGCTCTGCTGAGGAACGAAGAGCTCTCATTTGACATTTTCCTATATGTAGCTCCACAGCTTTCAAGATTTTCTAGTTTGTGCAACCATAATATGAATTCTGCATTTGGCATTATCCCCTGGATAATTCCATTATTAAGGAAGCTTGGAAATGAAAGATTTTTTTCTTTCCTTAAGGCATTTGGCCATTATTTTACACGTTTAGAATAAGAAAATTATTTTCTGTACACAAAATGGTTCAGAATCACTATGCAAAGTCAACTCCTCAGTCACTAATGTGGACATTTTTGCGGGGTTTTGTGTTCAAAGAATGCACCACGACACACAGTGGAACAAATCAAACCAAATTACCTTGAAACAAATCAAAGAACACAAGAGGACTGGGGGAGGAGGGGGGGGGCACATAATGAAGGAAGTAAATATAAAATAAGATAAAATAAAAAGAGAGACATGGCAAATGTCCTTCCCTATCAAGCCATTAGTGTGGGTTGAATGCAGTTTCCAGTTGACATATTTTGCATCTCCTCTACAGAAACGTACTTTCCATTTCCATGACTCCACTGTCATGGCAGTATAGCACCAAACCCACTCAATCCTTCCATCTACCTATAGGAGTCTCTTAATTTCCATCTGTGTGTATTTGTTTGATCGATTTTGTCATAAGGCTATTAAGCCTTATTTAAATTCAAACAATATATTTACAGAAATGTTAATAAAAGCTTTTACTAGAACTGTGCTTTTGCTGCCACTGAATTTCATTGCCCAAGCTCTGGGATATTCAAGAGTACCACCTTTTGAACAGTTTAAAAATGAATAGGCAACAATATTATTTGTTACCAATGACAAAGAAACACTTTACCATTAGTCAGCATTCAAATAAATCACATTGTCTGGGCTTGTCTATGCTCAAAAAATTGTCTGATCTAACTCTGACAGTACAGTCAGAATGATATAACCTCCTTGTTGCAAGTAAAAGTTATAGCACTGAAATTTAAAGTAAACACCATATAACCTTATCCACACCATGATCTGCAATAATTTTTAAATAAATCAGATTCCAAATCAAGGGAAGTTAACACTGGTAGTAAATTATACATTTAAAAAAAAAGCTCTGATATACACATCTTTTTTCCCAGCTAATATGAATCATGGGTCCTTTTTGGCTCCTTAACATCTAGAAAAATCATCAGAAAGGAAAGAAAACACAAAGGTATTCTCTCAGCATACAACACTGCCATTTGAAACAGCTCCTCTGCTGCATCGTTAAGCCTGAACTGCTGTTTCCAAAAACAGGATGCCAACTGAGAGAATAAAAATTCAGAAAAGTAGACCAGGACTGAGACTGTCGTAAAATCAGCCAGTACCTTTTAGAAAACACTTGATAGTTGCAAATTTCTGCTCACATTTGCTCTGCATTCACGAGCCAATTAAAAAAAATCCTTCACTTGAAATGCCAGTTGGCCAGCTCATTAAAAAAGCCTCACTGACAACACTGGAAAAGGGGCAAATACCTAACGCAATCGGTCTTGAACATATTACTGGTCTGTTTAAACAAGAATAAGAAAGAATACAGTGTTTAAAAAAGCAGCAACAAACTAACCACAACCAACACAAACGAAAAATCCTTACCTAAGAAAAATTTAGCCTTTTAAAAACCAGATTCAGCAGAACTGAACCTCAAAATCTTCCAGAAGTTTTCCTAAACCTCATTCTGCAGCTGTGTGAAATGGAGTCCTTTACAAGCAAGAGTGTATCAAAGTGCTCAGATTAAAACATACATACACATAGCTGATAATATAGTTACTCTGCTTTCAAATACAGTGACCAAGTCATACCCCTTGGCTAACGCAGGGATGGAGGAAAAATATTTACATTCTCAAAGGATTCTTGAACAGAGCTTTCCACTAAAGGAACAACTTCAATGGAGGGCTGCATCCAGCTCTGAGATCTCCAGCACAGCAGTGCTGGACCTCTTGGAATGAGTCCAGACGAGGCCCACAGAAATAATCAGAGAGCTGGAACACCTCTCCTATGGAGACAGGCTGACAGAGCTGGGGTTTTTCAGCCTGGAGCGGAGGAGTCTCCAGGGAGACCTAGAAGTACCTAGAAGAAAGCTGGAGAGGGACTTTTTACAACGGCAGGTAGTGACAGGACAAGGGGAAATTGTTTTAAACTAAGATGAAGTAGGTCTAGAGTGGATGTTAGGAAGAAATTCTTTAATGTGAGGGTGGTGAGCCACTGGAAGAGGTTACCCAGAGAAGCTGTGGATGCCCCATCCCTGGAAGTGTTCAAGGCCAGGTTGGATGAGGCTTTGAGTAACCTGGTGTAGTAGAAGATGATTCTGTTCTCATAGAAGGGAGGTTGGAAGTAAGGTCCCTTCCAACCCAAACCACTGTATGATCCTGTAATAGAAAGGTTTCCACTACGTATAAAAAGAAACATACTGTTTTCTTCCTTGGCCAAACAAAATAAAACCAGAGACAACAGCAAGGACTAATTAAAATTGTATTAGTCAACTAAGGCGCAATACAGTCCCCATCCATACTAGTGAAGTTGAACTGCAAGTCTTCAGGACCTTTGAAGAGCCACATTTGTGCATCAAAGGGAATGCACCTCAAATGATAAACACCAAACTATTTAATTTCAAAACTGAAGTCCCACATAAAAGCCACAAAACACGTTATCTGTGTGATCACTGCAAAGAGCCATGTACTCTTTTATTCTGGCTGTGTTTAGTATCATACCTTTTCTAAAAGCAGGCTGTCCCCTGCCATCTCAGGGTAGAAAAAAGGCCAGCATGACCTCAAACACCATTGACTGTGCAAGCTCAGAAGCCTTCCGTTTTCTTCACCTTCTCCTTATAGCCACAGATTTTGCAAAATATTTGAGGAAGTCACAAGGTTCCCAAATAGCATTTCAATGGGAAAACTCCTAAAAGACAATTAATAAAATCTCGAACAATCCCACCCCCCCAGTCCCCCCCAAAAAGCCAAGATGTCCGTTTGCTGTGACTGCACCAAGGTGGTAGTCATCATCCCTGGAGGTGTTTAAGGAAAGACTGGATCTGGCTCTTAGTGCCATGGTCGAGTTGACATGGTGGTGTTTGGCCGTAAGTTGGACTTGATGACCTCAAAGATCTCTTCCAACCGATGCACTGCTGGTTTCTGTAAAAGTGCTCCCAGCTAAGGCAAGTGGCGCACGCAGGGCTCTCCCTGACCTTGCCCCAAGCTACCGCTCTTAACTGTATGAGGGCGAAGCTGTCCCAAATCCCTCAGTTCCAGCCAGCGCAGTTTCCACCAGGACAAATAAACATTTCCCAACAAATGGAGTTACCGGTCACACGCTCAGGAGCTCGTCGCGCCCCCGCACGGCGGACTACAGCTCCCAGCATGCTCCACTCCGCACCGCCCCAGAGCACGCCGGGAGCGGCACCACCCACCGGCCCACACGCATCTCAGCGCCCTGGCATGGCTCCGGGGGGCGCACACGTGACACCATGCCGCGCTTCGATTGGACCAAACCGCTGCCAGTCAACTGCCCCAACGGCTGGCACCGGGTGCGACGTGCCACAGCGCGCGGGGCCGTGCCGCTCCGATTGGCTGCTCGGGGATGACCCGCCCCTTTTAAATACCTGTCGCTCCGTGACAGGCCGTCACTGGAGTTCCTGTTAGGAGGGCGCTACCGGAGAGGATCGGTCCCGCCCCTTCGCCTTCTCCTGGGAGCCCCGCCCTCCTCCGCTAGCTCCTCCCGCTCCGGAGGGGCGGCAATGTCAAACGGCTCGCTCGCTCGGGAGGGAGGAAGGGAGACGCGATCCGCCCCACTCCCTCCCGCCTGGATCCCGTCCGCAGCCCCTCCTACCAGAGCGCCCCCTCCCCACCCCGGCGCTGCCCCTCGGAGCCGCGCGCGCGCCCCGGGCCGTCTCGAGCCCCGCCCCCCCGGCTCCTTGCCCCCACCCCGTTCCTGTCGATGGCCCCGCCCCCCGGGCTCGCGCGCGCCGCGCCGTGTCCTCCCCCGGCCCGGGGGACGGTGACGGCGGCGGCGGGAGGAGGCGGCAGCGGCAGAGCCCGGGTGCGCCAGGAGGCGGCGGGGAGTCAGCGAGGAGCGCCGAGCAAGAACGGGCGGGCTCCGCCCCGCCCCTTGCCGAGCCCCCCGCCCCCTGCCCTTCCTCCCTCCTCTCCTCCCCTCCTCCGCCTCCTCCTCCCCGCACGCGCCGGGCGGAGGGAGAGGCTGCGAGGGAGCCCCGGGTACAACATGGCGGAGCACTCGGCCCCCGACCACAAGCACAGACCCGCCGCCAACTCCGCGGCGCCGCTCCACAGCCGCGCCGGGGCGGGCGGCGGCCTGTCGGGGGGCCTATCGCAGCCGGCGGGCTGGCAATCCCTGCTCTCCTTCACCATCCTCTTCCTGGCCTGGCTGGCTGGATTCAGCTCCCGGCTCTTCGCCGTCATCCGCTTCGAGAGCATCATCCACGAGTTCGACCCCTGGTCAGTCGCCGCCGCCGCCGGGCGGGACGGGGAGGCGGGAAAGCACCGCGCCATGAGCCGCGGCGGGGGAGACCCGCGGGTTCTGTCCGCCGTGGCCGCGGGGACGGCGGGAGGGCCCCGCAGCCCGCCCCCCGCTCCGCCACGAAGTTGCGCCCCTGCCTGTTCCCCGGAGTGAGCCGGCAGCTGCGGCCGCCCCGGGAGCCGGGGAGGGAGGCAAGGAGAGAGAGATGGAGGCGGTGCGGACGGGACACGCTGTTGCAGGTCGGAGGGAGCGTGAGGGGTCGCCACCGCGGCGCGGGAGAAGGGGAGCGCCGGGAGCGAGCGGCGGTGCCGGGCGCTGGGGTGTCCCCTGCGGCGGAGACCTCGGGAACGGGGCGGCGGCAGTTCCCTCGTATCCCTTGGAGTTGCGGCAGGACTCTCCGAGGGGCGCGGAGAAAGAAAGTTGTGGCGCTCGTAGGGAATCGGGCAGGAGTCAGGGGCTGGTAGCGAAACAGTTGTGCCAGGCGTGACCCGCGCCCCGGTCCGGGTCCCGTTGTCGCGGTGCCGGTCCCATGTGTGCCGTACGGCTTCCCGAAGTGGTCTTTGCTAGAGTCCTTGTCGACCGGGGAGGGAGCAGAGTGAGGAATGCACTGCAGGAAGTAATCTTCATAAAAGTGACTTGAGGGATTACAGCGAAATGGGTGACATTGATTTACTGCCAGGTGTTTCGAAGCTGCGTTTCTGAGCCCAAGGACTTTTGCTGTTTCCCACACATCTTGATTTTTCCAAAGGTTGCTTTCCCTCCTGTAGAAGCCGTCTGTTCTTTTTCCCTTCTTGGAGGGGACCGAAACCATTTTATGCATGAGATCAAGAAACGCTGCACTCGTTCCTTGCAGCAAGGCAAAGATGACAAGACTTGTGGGGCAGGGTTGTTGTAATGCAAAAATGTGACAATGAATTTTTATACTATTGTTTACTTCATCCTGGGAATCCGTGGGGTTTTTAGAACTCTAAGTAGGGTAAGTGGCAGATGACTTTAGAATAGTGAATTGTCAGATTTTAATTTAAAATTTTATGTCTTGGGTCTCACTGTTAATTGCACAAAGGAAGGAGATGCTTCGTTTTGAATTGCACGCTAGGTAGTCTGTGTTAAATTTAATCTAAAATTGTTGCTGGAATGGCATTCTCTGCAAAAGCATGCGCTCCACTTTGATACTTTCAAAAGCACAACTTCCTCTTTTCTAGTTGGCTTTTCCCCCCTCGTTTCTCTCCCCTCCACCCCCAAATGTAATCCATTCACAAATCATGGCTCAGGATAGTAGATAGAGAACAAGGAATTGCTTTGTTTTTAAATGCTGTGTGAAGTAATAAACCTTTGTGATGTGAAAGCCAAGTATCTCAAAATATCTTCAAAATGTCGAGTAATTGTCCATGATTTAAGTGTTTTTCTGCAAACACAAATGAATGGAAGAAGTGTAAACTTCCAGTTAATAAAGTTAAGAATGAGGGGGAGTATAGTTTAAACACATCTACAATGAGACTATGGACCTGAGGTTGTATCCTGTGGAGTAGTTTTCTTTTAATCTAAATTTAAGCATAAAGGCTTTCCTTTCTATTATGGAGGAAACTTTTAAGCATGCAACTTACATTTTTGTGCAAATTTTGTCTGATTTTTATCATCAATATTCATCCTTGTTGGATAAACGGAAATTTTACAGTGCTGAGTTGCATAACTTGTTACTAAGCCCTGAAGGACACTAAAATGGTGCTATGGGAGTTAAGTTCATAGTAATGATCTAGCTGTAAAGATAAACTCCTGTTAAAAGCAATGTGTAAATTGATGCAAAGTCATCTTCCTGAGTACACAAACAGAAGGCATTGCTGCCTGAGCTGCTGGATGTACCCTTGTTAATTAGGGAATAGATGAAGTTGACAAAACTCATTGATTTTAATGCAGGTCTGTGAGAAGCAGTTGAAATGTCAAGAATCATGCCAGTGTCGTGTTGCTGCATGCCAGAAATGGTAGAAGCAAATGCACTTAAGTTAATTAGTAGGAAAGAGAACCTAAAATGGTAGAAACTGAGTGAAAACAAAGGGCTTTCTCTATTGCAGCAGCAAAATTGTTGGAAAGTAAAAAATTATGTTGCTCTATTAAACAGTGTGGAGTAGCTAGGTAGGAATGGTTGCAAATAGTTGCAAGGGTCTTACAAGTCTGAATGTAATATGGGAAAGGAGCTTATGAAAAGACTAGTAGCAGTGCTCTGTTTCTATTTTTTTTTTAACTACTTCTTTAGCAGCTTCTCCAGGTAAACTGGATTTTTTTTATTTTTTTGGGGACAGTGGCTGTAGACTTTGCTATGGAACAGTTTTATATTTTTCTCAATTCTTTTGGCTTTGCATAGGATATCTTGCAGTGTGTTGTTAAGTCAGTCACCTCTTCTCTAGTATTTGTTTTATGCTCCAGAGAGGAAACGCAGGTATGTCTGATAAAATGAGGAGCATTAGGCAAATCGTTTATTCTTTTGAATGGAAAAATATTGCTGCCTCTAAGGTGTAGAAAGCTTTTCCATTTACTTAGGAATCCAGTTTCCTGGTATGGACATACAAAACCATCAAGGGTGGGAAGAAAGGCAGAATTGCCTTGGGTTTTCTACATATTAATTGAATCAAATACCACCTTCTTTCTTTTTTTTTTCCCTAACATCCCTTTCGCGCTGCCTTTCTGACAGTAAAATTAGGTTTTGATTTGGGATAGAAGGGAGATTTGCTGCTTTTGTAAAATCAGCCACTGAGACTCACTTGTGTTGGCATTTCTTGCAGAAGTGACCCAAATGTAGTACGATAGGCCAAGGCAGTAGAGAGAGGACGGTGTTTGGTTTTGAAATACAATGCCTGTGCAAGGTAAAACCAAACTGGTGTTTTGAGGTCACCATGCTGCCACTTAAGAACTTGTGACCTGTACATTATGGCTAGGTTTACTGGGGTGTTTTTCACACTGACTACCTATTTTGTTCAGTATTTTCACTTTTTGATTTATTTCTCATGTGTTTACTTTCCATACTTGAGCTGGTCCAGAGACTTTGAAAAATGTGTGTGCTTCTTGGCAGTTTCTAGGTCAGGTGAACTGATACACAAAGTCAAGCAGCACTGACATTAAGATGTGCCATTGACAGGTCTCCAGCATTCAATTCCAGGACTTCATTCTAAGGCCAAGAACTTGAAACATGGATAGTGGTGGTACATTGGAATGGACAGATTCCATGTCTGAAATTTGGTTCATCTGTTGGCTGGTTTGGCAGCTGGGTTGACCAACAGCTTAATTTTGGTGCTGTGTACACACAAGTGCAGAGTGAAAGCTGCACATGAAAATACAACAGCAGATTTAACTCAGTTGTCAAGTGAGAGCATTTTTATGCCAGATGTTGCCTTAAATGCCAACCTGGCTGCAGAACCAAGGCAACCAAAATCATGGAGCCCTTGAGCAGGAGCTACTTTCTGTGCACTTTCTAAAGTAAAGCTCCAGCATGTCCATATGCTCTTTCTTTTGACTGCTTGCACATATGTGTGTGTGTATAGATGCATAAAAAATAATCTGTATGTATACATATATGATAGATATATATAAAAGGTGTGTACATATATATATGTATTTAGCAAGACTGTTGCATTCTGGTACTGCTGCCAAGTGAAATGATAACAACTTTTGGTAGATCAGTAGTCTTGAGGGTGTACTGTCAAAATAGTGCATTCATTCTGTTTGTACAGTCCTTACCATTAAGTCACACGTGTGAGAAGTGTAGCTGAATCATTAATCATATCCCATGACATGAGATCAAATTTCTCTTTCCCCTGAGAATTTTAACATCTTGCTAAAAGATATTAATGCTAGTTACCTTAGTGAAAGCTTTCTTAGGCTGGAATACCAAAGCTCATATGTGTAAACATGAGACCCTCTCCATACCAGTTTGCACGTGCAGCATGGTGCACCAAGGCTTTGTCAGTTCCATTTGCCTACCTTCTCCTGCCAGGAATGTTGTCTTCTACATCCCTGCCAGCTCTTGGTGCTGGAGAGCACTACCACAATCTCCTCTACATTTTTGGTTCTTCCAAACCAGCAGCACTGATTGCTCAAACCACTGTCTTTTTACCTGCATTTAGGAATGACCATTGTTTACTGTACCTCACTCTGAGGGAACGTAATTGTCCTGGTAGCATATATGGCTTATAGATAGAAAAGCAATCCACTTTCTTAGCACGGATACCACAATCTGGCATTAGTGGAGTGTAGTGACTGAGGATGAACTGGTAAAAATAAACCTATAGTCAGTGTCGTTGCTGGAGTTTCAGAGACAGGCAGGTTAAAGGAAGTTGAGAATTTTATCTCAGGCACTGTCAAATATACAGGTTTTGCTATGTTCGAATCATGTTTGCCAGATGGATTCTTGAGCTGTTGTAAACTTGTTTCATTAATGAAAACAAAATTTAGCATCTATAAATATGACATGAAACCTTCCTTAAAATTCAAAGTGTGACTGAAATGAACATAAAAAGTGGTGTATGGAATTGATCGATCAGTGGTGCTTGTGGGTTTGTGTTGTAGTTGCCTGGTCTGATAGTTGACTTCTGGAGTAGTTCTCTGTCGTCCACTTGCAGTCCTGTTTTTTTCTTCTTGCTTGCTATAAAGCAGTCATAGTAAATTCAGTGAGGTAAATTGTTAAAATACTATAACATTTTAGTTGCCTGAGCTGGTTTGCCACCAGTTTTTATATTTATTTATATTTATATAATATATATATTTACATTATATTTGAGGAAGAATATGAACATCAGCAGGGCATGTAAATAGTGACTGATGTTAGAGGATAAATTGGGATTGAGTGATAGAGGGGAGGTGTATAGAAATAAAACCAGAGCATGTTATGACACTGGAGCAACAGGTGATGAAAGAAGAGGTGAATAAGAGCATGTTAAGTTGGTGTTCATAAGGAGAGGGGAAAAAAATTGTATAAGGAGGATAGTGT